AGGGGTGCTATTGTCTATCAGCGTCTCCTCCAGTTTGGCATTGAGAACTGCCCCCGGGATGCCCATGCTAACCTGATCTACTTGATATGGTAATGGGCGTCTGTAGGCAGTATATCGTGTCCTGAAGTATAAAATTACGGAAGAATTTTAGTAGTTGCTGCGAAAGTAATATAAATTTGGCTCAAATCAATGCCCGGAGACCAACTGTTAAGCGGAGAGCTCGCTAGAGAAAGTTGATCGATTATATCCAACATAAATGGCCGGCGCATGGTTAACTCACATTTTCTGAAACAGGATATCGACACGGGCAGTCGGAATGGTACACCAGACTTCCTCGATGTGGCCTGAACTTCGAACAGTACGGCACTTCGGCTTCGTGTGTACCGCAGTAATGCTCAGTTCAAATGTAGTCCATATGCGCGGAGACAAGGCGTATTCTGCTGTGAATGGCTGGATCGGATTCACCAGTTTCTGCACAATTTCTTCATAATTTAGTTCTCCATCCCTTCTTGGACATAGATCTGACCATGGATTACGATAAAGAAAGAGTTATTTGTTCATGTCATGTTGACCATAGTGCCCACATCGAAAATCGCAGCATTTGTATTATATGAATATTAAGTGTTTCTCTTACCACAGCTGCAAAACCTGAGGTAACGTTTAACAGCAAGATAAGAACAAACGATAGCATTCTAAAACTGAGGGGTGAGCAACTCAATGTTGGCTGCTGTTGTGCTTTTATAGACATCTTTGGCCAATCACCTTCCATCTTCTCAACTAACACAATTGTATGCTTAGAGACTGACTTGTCTGATAAAGGCTCATAAACGGGAACAACTAATGACCTTATCAGCTGAAAGGACAACGGCGGACTGTGTTGGCTCGTGGCATCAGTCCCCTCTCAGTTTTCCATTGCAGGTAGACCCGTATCGATTGGTCGAATGTTTTCAGGTTACTTTCACTTGAGTAGCCCCAGTGTGGAGTGTCCTAAAACGCATTTCTAGTGTGAATCGTTGTAATAAAGAGAAAAGGTACAGGCAGCAAAATTTATTAATACTAACAAATTTCGTGACGTCTTCTCAACTACAAACCGTCATTGACTGACACAGATAACGAGTAGAAGCATCATAAATAGTATTTGCAAAAAGATCCATACACACTGTCAAGGCAAGTCCTCAGCGTGGCGAATAGTCAGTAGTAATCTTGCATTAAAAGTTGAATACAGGAAAAAAACGGCGAAGTAGGCAGTCAAGTATAAATCAAACTCTGATGAAATCTAGGCTTGATATTACCAGGGCAACTAGAGATTGGCTACATGGTCTAACTGCTTGCATCGGTTAGGTTTCTCCCGTCGTATATATGCTGCTTCTATGTAGCGCCGGGTTCGATTTTTTTGTGCCCGAACAAGTACTCGGAAAGGCGTGTCAAGGTCGACAGAATGACCACTGTCTAGCAGATATAATTTAATTGAGGACCGTGGTATGCTATTTTCTTGCTTGAAAAGCCAGTTCAGTTGCATTGTACCTCCTCTCTGCGGTGCAGCTCAAGTATCGCCTGATGGTTTTCGAAATACCACCACTCTTCAAGGGTAAGCATAAAATAACAAGCTTATTTGAAACCGACTGTTCCATCAAATTGTGCTGTAGAGAGCTGCTGTAGATTCACATGTAGCGTTCGGGATAGCCACGGTTAAGAAAGGCTTCTCTGATACTAGCAATTTCTGCGGCTACCACTTACCGTTTGAAGGTATTTTTGTGGAAAACGCAACACCCTTTATAAGCATCATCCTCACTCTACAGGATGACGTGAACTAAGAGTAACTTATTACACTGATCTGGTTCCATCGTGAACTTAATCTATGGATGTCAATTATTCTTCGAATTACGAAGATATTCTTGGCTATAAAAGACCGTCAATGTATCATGCATGGATTTTCTGTATTGTGTTTTCATGATATGTTTTAATGAAATTTTCTTCTTCTATGTGACCCATGAAAACACCGGCGATGGGTGACTCGAGTGAACTTCCCATTTCAACTCCATTGATTTGTCAGTCAAGTTAGCCATTAAACAGAAGTTGAACATTGTTGGTAAGATGTATCAAAAATGCACGCAATATTTCGGGCGGCAGACGGCCTTCAGACAAATGGACATACAGCAGATTAAATATCTGATGAAAGGTAGAGGACTGGGGGACTTAAAACACATTTGAGGTTGATTATTTAGTTCATTGGGTCAACTTGAGGCGCAGAATACTGTTTACTAGAATTGAATTCCGTTCATCTCAATATAGTGGGAGAAAATAGAAGCGGAAGTGGGCGAAATCCAGCGTGTGTTGATATCCGAGGAATTTTCTACGCTATAAAACGCTGCGGAAAAGAACTTCTTGTTTGTGCATGTTTCACTATAAAAGAACATTCATGAAGAGCCGGAACTTTTAAATCATATCTGTTCACAAAACGGCAAATTTTGTTTTGCGTCCATGAAAGTAAGGTAAGTGTACTTATGAGATGCAGCATTATAGTTGAGAAAAGCAAAATAAATTTAGATAACAAATTTTTTCCTTACAAATCTGTTACGTTTTTGCCCTAAAGATAAGCAATAAACTTACTAGAGACCAAAATGTGTTTTAGTACCCCGAAATTACTGGTCGTATTTGACCTTATATGGACTAACACGGAATTACATTAATTTTCTCATTAACCGTGTTCGGTAACTCCATCCAAAGGTTGTGAAAATATTGAAGAAAATCAATGAATATAAAAACTTGGAACAGACAAAAGACTATCATGTTGAAAAATATTGAAGGATAGTTTGGGTCACTCTGTTGTGCATTTAAAATCAAAGAACGATTCCCTGACGTAAAACAACGTATTGAAAACTGTTCTGTTTTATTAAGTTAGTTTGGCAGATTTGGTTAATTTAGTTGACCCAGTTATTAAGTTGGTTTGACAGATTTGGTTAATTTAGTTGACCCAATTGTGAAAGAAATCGCGGCATTCGGCGGGATTCGAACCTCACAGGATGGCCTTTTACACAAGCCAACGCTCTACCTACTTGAGCTACGAATGTCGCGCTTCACACCGTGAGATTAATTACACTTGGGTCGATATTACTTCCAACTTTGCCGCTCATATGGAATCCACCAATACGGGACAGCAAGTTGACTGACCCCCGCTTCACGCCATGAGTTTAATCACACTTGGATGGATATTACCCGCCTCTCCGCTTCACGCCATGAGTTTAATCACACTTGGATGGATATTACCCGCCCAATTCCGATCTCGCCATGAGTTTAATCACACTTGGATCGATATAATCCGCCCAACACACGCCATGAGTTTAATCACACTTGGATGGATATTACCCGCCCAACTTTGCTCACGCCATGAGTTTAATCACACTTGGATCGATATTAACCGCCCATGCCATGAGTTTAATCACACTTGCATCGATATTACCCGCCCAACTTTGCCGTTTACGCCACGAATTTCATCACACTTGGATCGATATTACCTGCCCAACTTTGCCACAAGGGAATCCACCAATACGGGACAGAAAGTTGACTGCCCAAGCAGGATTTCCTAAAACTGCCAAACCAACTTAATAATTAAGTCAGCCTAGTAGTCATTCTGATGGACTCTAGATGATTGCTTAGGAAATCCTGCTTGGACAGTCAACTTGCTGTCCCGT